CCTCAGATACTGTACATGGCACAAGCAGCCACTGCCCAAATTATCACCACTGGTAAAATGTGATCAGCCACACCAGTAAAGCGCGATCAACTACAAATGGAAGCATTCCATCACTTCTTGGTCATGGTAGCAAGACATTTTATACAAATAAATATATACCTCTGTATAGCCTTTAATTTGACAAGTCAATTGCAGCATTTACTGGCTCATCATCCTTCTGTTATTTTGGGATATTGTAATTGCAGGATTAGAAACAAAGACAGGGATGAAAGCTTACTGCCTTCACAATGCCAAATGACATTTGGCATTGTGAAGGTGGGTGACATTTTTTACTTCATCACGGTCTGGACATTTTGTTATAGGATGGTGGGGAGGGCAGCAAAGAAAAGCAGAACTTTGGTCACACGACAGTCAAATCCTACTCCTGAACTGACCATTAATTCAATTAAAACATTGATGTAGAGTGGTACAATTTCGTAAACGTTATTAAATATATTAGGTCTGATAAAGCAGTACTCTGTTTTCCTCAATGAAGCAGTACCTAATTGTAAGCAACATTTGGTGGAAAGCCCTCTAAGTAGTACACACTTGGCATGAAGTCAACAGAAATTGTTCTGTGGAGAGATTAGTCTGTGCCATAGAAAAACTGAATTTCCACAATCGGTACCAGCTGACACATGTTTGAGAATGGAGAGACTGCATCACATATAGCAATTTGGCTATGTATTTGAACCCACGACATTTGACAAGCAAGCATTGTTACACGTTTGGTAACATAATACCAAAACGGTACAATGTACCATGATCATAATGCTAAATTTAAATAAATAAAATCGTGCATTAGAACATCACAGGTCAAACACCAGACATTCCTCTGCACGACACTGACAGGAGTGCAGAAAACTCCGCTGTCAGTTCCCGTGTGAACGCAGCCTCCTCTACCGATTCTCCTGAGGAATCTGTACAGGGAGTCAGCTCTGCGGTGGGTGAATGCGAGCAGACGTAAGGTCACGTTCAGGATTTCTGGAGATCCGTTTCGAAGCGGCCAACATGGGTTGTGTTTCCAATTAAAATAGTATCGTAACAACTCGAACAATCGCACCTACAACTGACTGCGATGGGGATTAGACAGCGTGAATGTAACCGGGGTGCCCTCATTGTCAGGCAGCGGAGTTGCTCACGACAGGGCTGCTAGCCCTCAAGCCCACCTACGGCGGCGAGCGGCGCCTGTGTGTGGCATGGCGCCTGTGATGCAGTGACTGTGTGGAGGAAAAAAACATCTGAAATGACAGACTAATTTCTTTGCCTTAGTTCATAAACCACAAATATTTCTTAAAGTACAGGGTGGCCTTTCTCACGCGGCAAGCCTACGTTCCAAAGTTGGTCACGTATATAATTGAGATTTCTTTTTTTGCAATGTGTAAAATAAAAACCCACAATCGACACAACAAAGCAGCACGTTTTGGCAGTGCTAAAGCTAATATTCTGTGGATTTGTATGAGTGTTTTTTTTTTATTTCCCTATTTGCTGAGCCACTGCTTCAGTGCAATGCCTTATGAGCTGATGGTGATCTGTACTGATAAATGCACAACCCTGAGATGGTATCACAAATGACATTGTGGGTTGCGCAGGCACATATTTTTGGCATCATAAAACACTTTTGACTGGATATTTTTTGTTTGTTTACCATCTTGTTTTGTTTAAAGCACAGTAATTATATTTTCAGTGAGGGAAATAATATTTTCCTTTGAATTTCAGAGAAAAATGTTCACTTTACCATTGAGATGTTTGGCCAATTCCATTAATGGGTGTTTTTGGCATGGAGTTGACCAGAGAAAACCCACACACATGCACAAGGCTGTCACACTCAAAGCACTGCACAGATAGATTAATTAATCAATTTCTAGACTGCCATTCTCTGGGAACCTCAATGCCTATTTTGTTTATTACTGAATACATGTATGTTTTTACTGTTAATGTGATTAAAAGTACCCGACCATATGTCTTTTGATAATTTTTGGAATAATGGAGGTTGGCTTTGAAAATACCGCTTCCCAGCTTGGCATGCGTTTTTAAATGTCTAAGTATTGTATGTTGGACAAAATGCAGAACAGAATTCATCCTATATCTGCATATTTACTGAGAAGAGTTAAATATCTTTCAAGTATTTTTAAAAGGCCACTGAAAAACAATGCGAGTGAAGCCACAACTGTAATTTTCCCCACGCATTATGACAGTACGCAAAGCTCTTCCTTTTGTTGGAGATGAAGCAGTCAAATGTCTCTAAACAAGCACCCCAACAGAGACTAATGGCATTATTGCAATCACGCGAGACAAAATATGTTTTAAGCTCACGTTTGCATGCTAATAGAAGACAGATTTTGGAGGGCTATTAGAAGTGACCTTTGCCCCCTGCGTTTTAAGCAGGAACTTTGTTTTGCAGGATTATGGTTTAGAACACTTCACAGAGTGCCTTCTGCCGATTAAGGCAGATTTAGGCCCCCTTCTTTAGCAAGCCAAAAGCAGATTTGTACACGAAGGTGGAGCCAGGCTGGCAGTATGTTTGGAAAATCCATAGCTTGTATCATTCCTTAAAACACCTCCATGCTGTAAATAATGATGGTAATGTACATCTTACTGTAAATTTTTCTGTCATCTAGACTCAAACCCTTTTTGTGTTTTGCACATTCCTGGATGACTAAAAAATACATATACTATATAAGAACCAGTATGCTTTGAAAATCCAAACACACCGTGCAAATAATGTACAATCATTATGTATTTAGCCTATAATGGCCCACACCTTACAAACACTTCAAGAAATAAGGCAGGAAATATAATTGATCAGATTACACAGCGGAATATCACAATCACTATAAAGAAAAAGAAATAGACTCCGGAGGGAAGATGGCATTGTAATGGAACAGCAGGCAAGAAAAGGGGAGCACGATTTCAGGCGCAAACAGATATTGATGCCAGGGGTCTATGGAAGTGAATTTAACAGCAGCTCCATAGGACTAAGGGTAGTGGCAAGTTTGGCTGCACACATGGCTTAAAGCTTGTGGACTTTATCTTAAAATTATCTATTTAGACATGCATATTATTTATATCAGCACATTCTATGGTTTATAATAACCATTATTAAAATAATTTCTCTAAATGTAAAGAATTCACTACCGTTAAACAGCAGGGGCACAGTTTACTGCAGGTGCATGTTGGAAGCACCTTCAAGAGCCATAAATTACAAAGAACCCTTAATACTTAAATAAACTATAATGAAAAGGTAACACCTCCATGCTGCGGCATCTATAACCCCAGAAAGAACACTGGAATTATTCCTATGAATTATGGATAAATGTAAGTACTCAAGACCATAAAAATATTTAAAGTATCTTTATAGCTAATTTGTTTATTTACCAACCGGTTTCAATTGCTTTAACCAGGTGGCTTTGGTGCATGCACAGCTGCGATATCACAATTCATCTCATTACCAATTAAGTGTCTGTTATTTTAGCCCATAAGCTTTCTCATCACATAAATGCAGTCCAGAGGGTCGTGCAATTTTATTTTATTAACTTTAATAACATCGTAGAGCGTTCTGGTGTTCTCTATTAAGAGGCCAGTTTATTCGTTGTTTTTATTTCACTTAAGTCAATGTGGACAGCACCTTCGCTAACAAAGGCCTGCTCTTGTAAGGAGCGCGGACGGCCCATGAGAGGAAGCACACGGCACTCTCTACGTCGTGTGATCCAATGCCTGGAATGCATTATCACAGCGGGCAGGGTCACACTTATGAACCCCAAACTCCAAACAGAGCCACGTAACCTCTGGACCAGTAAGCGCGAGCAAGTATCTCACTGTGGAGAGCCCCATTAACAAACAAAAAACCGTAGGGAATAATTATGGGAACGTGCGGTCATCAGGAAGGCAAGGCGTGTGCAAGGAAAGGCGCTGTGCAGGGGTGCGAGCACTGGGCCTGTGCGCCGAACCGGAACCTGAATTTCTAGTTTTGTGCCGGACTTGTGTGGCAGGAACTGTAATTTAGACCAGGTGGGCCTTGTACCTTTACCTTCAACTTGGGGCGTACACTGCTAATTAAGAGTTCAGTGGCTTTTTTTAGTTGGACAAGAAACAAATCAGCAGTGTGACAGCGACAAGTGTTCCGTTTATTTATAAATGTCTCGTGTCAGTGGTAATGTCTAAATTGAGTAAGTAATGATAAAAAGAGGTGACGAGAGCCACTGGAAATGACCCGCAGAGGCTCAATCACAAACCCAGTTCTCATCTCATATCAGAGTATCATCCACACTCTATCTTACACAGGTCACACACCATTTCACACCAAGCGAGGCAACCTTGGACCAATTTTGTACTTCACCAAGTGTCAACGGTATTGTGTGGCGTGGTTAACCCAATACTATCGGATAGCCCAGTGCTGCTGTCAGGGTCTCTCCCACAGATGAGCTACTGCAAAATGCAGAGTTTACACTTCAAAGAGGCTTTTGTGCTGTATTACTGAAGACCCAGTTTGGTTTAATCCAGTCTAAGGTTTAAATACAGGAATCTGGCCTTCCATTAATCTGCAAGGCACATTGGCTGATGGATTAAATGTTATTTTCCTGGTCACATTTTACAAGTAGCTTGGTATTATTACATTGGCCACACCTAACATTGGCATTCTCAAATGCCTTGCTAAGCTGCAGAATACCAGATTTTTCAAGCCCCAGCTTGGATACCGGTTTGGAATGTTGTCTCCGACAAACACGGGTTTATATTTATTAAAGCTTCTGTCTGATTTTTGTTGTTGGATATCGGTTTTGATGAACTCGTTCCATCTTACTGTCACTTTCTAAGTGAGTAAAAGTGTAGCTTTACAATGTTTGATTCCTATGAATGGATGTACATGGGAATTATGAAGACGGGTCTTGAAAATATATTCACCATACCATTTTTGTGCGTGTTTTTGGAAAGTTACATTATTGCCGGCGAAAATTACTCACCAGTTTTTGTTCCAGGAGTGAGCAAACTCGATGAGGAGAATGAGCTGAATGAGGATGAAGAGGAAACCTCCCACCATCCCAATATACTGCCACACTGTCAACACACCACAAATCAACCGGCTTTTAATTGATGTATACTGCATTGGTAGTATAAGGCAACGACGACTCATGCATTACAGCCTTTTGTAAATCCGATACGGGAGGAAAGCCTCCCCACAATGTTGGTGGTTGTTTAACCATACTTCACCACATTGCTCAGTGCCAGTTGGTTAAGATGTGGTATAGGGTGGGGGGGGAGACGGGGGGGCAGGTCGTGCCTAAGACCAGATTCAGATATCATTCGTAGGTGATGCTTGCTATGGCTGGGTATTGAACTAAGCTCGGCAGGTTCATAGATCAGTGTGCCGCCCGATGCCACCATCGCTAAAAAACAACAACACTATAATTCTGCATGTAAAGTAAATGCAATATTGGACACATTATGAGCAAAAGACAATGATTGTAAAACGTTCTATCAATGTGTATATGGTAAATGTACCTTAAACTATACAGTACCAAGTTATTGGCAGAAAACGCTAATAATTTAAGGAACACCAATTAGAATCACTCTATCTTAGTTACAGCACGAAAATCTTTTAAAATACAAAAAATTGGTATTTTCAGTCTCCAGTAGCATATATCCATCAACAATAAACAGGTAACAATGTATCCATTCACTCTTACGCTTATAATACCTGGATTTAATGATGCATTTAACTATTGAACATGTATGCTTTAATGCCGATTATATGCAAATTAGGAATTATATACTATATATTGAGGCTAATGATGAGATTATTATTTTTTTACAAACAAGACAGAAACAAATTGAAACAAGACCTAACTTTAAGACATTTCAGAAGTGGTTGTGATATCTCGTTTCACGGACCGTTCTTTAACATGGGGCAATGCAGTCCTCTGAAGGTTTAAATTTTTTTGGCTATATAAGGTGACGCTTATAGCGCAAATTGGATAACATACGGATTTGTTTTTGTTTCAAATGCTATGGTGTCAAATTAAAGTTATTCCTGCACGGTGTACAGTCGCAAACCACGTGCAAATGCAATTTGCAATGAAATCAGTTTTCTTTGTTACAACACTGCCATCTATAGGTCCAATAGTACACTTACACCACCGCAAATGAATCATTCGTGGAGTTGTGAAATAAACTAAAACGTGAAGAAGACGTTTTGTATGCTTATTAATTTTGTTCATCAATTTAACTACTTCATGCAACAATCGTTGCTGAGGAAACTAATACAGGAAACTAAGTGTAGTGCTTGCTGCTGATTCAACCTCATTTTGGGGTGCGATTTTCTCCTTACCTTTCAGAAAGGTGTTCTGATCTGGAATAAAGAATGCCCCTGCACAAAATCCTGCCAGCATGAGGAACTTCAAAAACCAAAACCTAGGAAAAGGACATGCGTTTATCCATGTTCATTAATTACAGTACAGGCAATAGACAATTTTTACTCACATATGCTGTTGAAAATACCACTTACAACACTTGTTAATTAATGTTCTCATTCATGTCAACTCTTTTTTCAACCACAACAAAAAAGCATAGCTCCCAAATACATGACAATTTGTTTTCTCTGTTCTTACTGAATAATGTCTCGTATATTATTAGCTTTCTGTATACTTTTCACTTTATACATGTGTAGTGACATGGAATGGGTCACTATGGTGTGTAGCGCTGGTTGCTGGCAGAGAAGGGGCTCTGCTGTTGTAGCAGCCCTGTCTGCCAGCAGGTCATGTGATAAGCCGGAGAAAGGGATGTGGGGCAAAGGTGATAGAGGGGGCACGTGAGGTAAAGCCCAGGAACCTTCTAGTAGGTTCTAGAAGGGGGGCGTGGCCAAAGGCGGAGCGAGGCCACGCTGGGTGGATAAAAGGGGGAGCTCCGAGCAAGGCTCGGGGCTGTTGTTTGGAGTGGAACCCGCCGTGCTGCTGGAGTCTTTGTTAACGTCTTCACCTCCTCGGCATTGTTAGTCAGGTAGCCTGTTAGCTGTCCTGACCATAGTTTAGTTACTTCTTGTACCTGTGAAGGCTATAATAAATAGAGTGCCTCCTACTATTAGTGTCTCTTGAGTGACTCACTACACATGTCAATGGTCAGTATATTTTCACAGTAACGTTGATATTATGTTCTACACCAATGACAATACAGTTACTCCCGCTTGGCTGGCAATGCAAGAGTCGGTTAAACAAAACAGACACACACTGTTGTGGCTTCAATGGGCCAACCAAATTTTTACCAAAGAAAAGCAGTTTGGTTGTCAGCATTCACATGAATGACCTGCAAATGTGTTCAAGTAGTAATATTATGCCCACAATTCACTGCATTTAAAAAAGGTATTTTTAAATAATAAATTTTCGTGACGTGTGTTACCCAAGCTCGTTTACTTTTCTTAAGTCAATATCAAAATAATAGTGTATGTTCTCTCATCAATGTGTTCATCTTTCCGTCTAAGTCTAGCTCCCAAGCATGTACATTTCCATGCTAATTTACACACTTTTCAGGTCTTTGTTCCATTTACATTTTCAGTGTCCATGTTTGTTATCCACGTGTCATAGCAGGTATTATGCACTGGGTGCTTAAAAATATCTGGTATTCTGCAGATTAAGGAATTTTAGAATGACAATTACCAGTGTAATTCTAATGATGATTACTGGTCACTACTGCACCAGGCTCAGGTGTACACCATATGCAAGGCTGGTCATCAAGATCAGTTACATTCACTCTCGTAGGCAACTTATTTCAGGGTTCATAACGGGGCAAGCAAAAAAAACCTGGCAGCACATGTGCACGCTCCAGTTCCACGTGCAGTAGTATTACTCTGGTGACCACACACCGCTGTCGGCATCTTGTATTGGCCAAGTTTCACTCCATGTGGTTTGCATTCAATGCTGATTATGAATTAGATGCAGTGCTATCGCATACTCCATGTGGAGCACCGCATGTATCAGTGTTCAGCAATAAACATGGTTGAACATATTGGATGCATTTCATAGCTGCATGTAACTTTTTAAGCAATGGCTAAAATGCTACCTCTACCGTAGATCATTAACCGTAGAATAGTTCAATTAGATACATATTTTATTTGCATGGGAGACTGGGAAAGTGCAAAAAATACAAGCACTACAGAAGAAAAGGCTAATAGTGAAGCACATATACAGTACAAGAAAAATCATTGCATGCAACAGTGACAAAATACCTAAAACACATATGGCCAATTGGTTCATGATAAAAAAACAACCTTATATTATGAATTTGTATGAACAGAAAATTACCATTAATTTCTTAACAATCATTAATCGTCACGCAAGCACAAACCCATTGTGTATGTAGGAGCGGCAGTCTCTGCTCGTCTTCACGTTGATGAGAATGATGGCGAAAATGAAAAAGAAGGCCGCCATCCCAAAGCACACTTTGTACACGGCAGAGTAGCCAACCAGCTTCTCACAGTCCACGCCGGCCTGGATGGCGTTGCAGAAGTCCGAGTAAAAGGGCACCTTTTGGAAATAAAGGGAGATATACAGAATGAAGGACGAAATGTGTGGTGCATTTATGCACACTCATGAATACAGTATACATCATAAGAGCCTGGCTTACATAGTGAAGTAATACTGGCAGTTCAAAGAGAGTTGTGCGTGCCACTTGGTTCTATAAATGAGGCAGGCTCTTCTGCCTGAGCAGCTTTAATACAGCAATGTGCAAACTAAAAAAGGAACCATGTTTTAGTCATCAACAGGCATTCATAGTTATCATTAGATATGACAAAATCCACTGCTGAAGGCCCCCCCCCCCTCCCCAAGCTGTTGCCATCTCTCCCGATCCTGCGATACAAAAAACCACCTAAGCACCTGCACATGAGCTGAATTGATTTATTCGTCTCACCGGTGGATGTCAGAGGACAAGTTTCACGTTCCTATTTCTCCGTGTTATTTCAAGCACATGGCTCTCCATGTTTCTTTGTGCACTTAAATAAAACTTCTCCATCATGAGCCTCTTAACCTAATCAATTTGAGTCTGATCTACTTCAATAGCTGTCCTAGGTATAAATATTTTTGCTGTTTTCCAGTTGAGTCCCTCCAACAGATATCTTACTTTAGGGGTTTTATACTATATAAACAAGAATTTCAAATAGGTGCCCATGACTACAACACCACTTGTCTTCACATGGAAAATGCGTGCAAAATAAATTATTGATCAAATAAAGACATATGTAGAGTTTCGAATTTTACAAATATTTGTTATATTATCGTATGCAAGCACTGTATTAATATATATTTTTTAAATCGAAATAAACAGGTGAAAGTTCTACAAAGGGGAAATGAGTGTCACCACTGAAGTACATTGTACGTTCACCTTGTACCACATTTTCAATCCATTAAAAAAACTGTTAAAATGCCCAACTCTTAAATCCAAAATCAAATGAAAACACAGTGCTATATTGTAATTGGATGTTGCTGTAATGTAATGGTTATCACACTAAACTTGCAGTTAATCCCCTGGCGTGGCAGCTGAAACAATGGCCGCGTTTCTGAAATTCCTCACCCCCGCCTCAGTCCATCCGGAAATATATTTGAATTCACTACAGCTGATCGATCTGCAGTTCGCGTGTGGTTGGGTAAAGTGTGGGCACTCCCACTTCCTCGAAGACCTCTGGTTGGTGTGGAGGAGTAGGTCCTATAGAGGGGCTCTCTCGAGCTCCCTCTAGTGGATGGCCCTTACGCCAGCAGTGGCATAAGCAAGAAATTGCAGGGTGGGACCTTTACATATTTTAACTTTTACCGCAGGATATAACGTAACTTTACACGCCAGTGACCGGAAAGCCAAAGCCCCCGAACGCACATTATTTTTCAGCGACTCGGAGATGGTTGGGGCCAGCATGAGACAGCAGACGATGGTGCCCAAGATGTGGTAGAATGTGTACATGATGCGCGAGCCCGTCGACTCCTTGATGGTGGGGCAGCACGCGCAGCATAGCGAGCAGGCGGTCGATCCAAAGCAACATGCCACCTGCACGCCAATACGAATGGAGGGCAGGAAGATGTGCAACAACACGGGTTAGCAGAAGTACATGACACCAAGCAGGCACACAAATAACGTTGAAAAAGGAGTTGGTTATCTACATCATTAGACCTCCTTTGCCAGTACCAAAATGTAATAATAGGGTTTTTCCCCTTTTTTCTGGCAACTAAACTGAAACCTTTTTACGAGGATTCATGTCTGCATTGTGGTTAATGCAGACATCAATCCTCGTAAAAAGGTTTCAGTTTTGTTGCTAGACAAAAGGGGAAAAACCCTATTATTACGAGTTGGTTATCATCATCCACGATCATGATAATTCATACACGTGTGATAATAACAAAATTATCAGACCTATTTACTTAAAACATTTTTACAGAAATTAAGTACATCGCACCTCTGATTAGCACGGTGGGCTACGTATGGTGCAAAAGAAGTTCAACATACATACGTGACCTCAATTTACTATGAGCCAAGAATGTCTGTATGTCCCGCGCGTGACGTCACTCCACGTCGGCCAGCCCCCCTCATTAATAGTCATGAACTGGTGACGTCCTCCACATGGACCCCCCCTCATTAATAATCATAAGTGGGTAACGTCACTCCACATGGGTGGGGGGGGTGAGGCGCCTCCTCCCCCTTCCTCAGCGTCAACTTACAACCCTCACAACAAAGGCAGAACCCTCACGTCACGCGATCTCTGCAACGCTATTGAGACGTAAAAAGGACGTCATGATGAACAAGGGATTATAACCTTTAAATGAAATAAGTCTGTGTCACCGCGGCCTTACAAATTGTACACGAATTGATGCAATGAATATCACGTTGCCGTCTGATTTTCGCTTGCAGGTTTCAGATTTACTGAAATACACCCGTCCTTGGACGGGACAAACGCTATGTATAAATAAATTCCTTTTACCTGGGGCCCTACAACTCACAACTGCTATTATCCATGCTCCCAATTGATCTGGAGAAACTCCAGTTATTCCCACATACATTTGAATATGAAGAATCAATCAGGAATTATTTTCAGATGGGCTTGGAAAGTAGGATCTGTCATAGCGTCTCCCTCGCGTCTAGATAATTGGGAGGTCACCACGTATGTATTTATAATTTTTGTAATGACTGTCATAATACATTGCATTACAAGAACAACATCTCTATTTTCTCAAACCAGCATTGGGTGGCACTAATCTTAGCTGATCAACCTTAAGCAGTGGTGACACATTTCTACATTATTACAGTAGGAGTCATTCCACAGTTCAGTGCTTCGCAGCTAGTGTGCCACGGCAGTCCCAGGTGTGCCGTGCGGTATTTTCAAAATTATGGGAAGACATGTCAAAAGCCTCCACCTCCACCGCCACCTCTCCATTGGTCAGGCATAAAGAAGTATGGCAGACAGCCGTCAGCCCCCACTGCCAGCCCTCAACTCACAGACATGGAGACACACACAGACATGCAGAGACACGCAGAGACACGCACACGGAGATGGGCACACACAAACAGAAACACATGGAGACACACACACGGAGACATTCAAACAACAACAACAACCGTTCACCACTAAGTGGCGGTGACGTCACCATGGTGCTTGTGCCATGCTAGGTGCACTTTGAGGCCACATGAAGTGCTCGGGGTTGACCGTGTGAGTCATCTCAGTCGGTCATGCCCGTTTAACCTGGCGCTCTGCTCGTTGCTGTAAGCAGTAAGCATCGCTCCTTTGCCCTTCGTTGTTGCTGGAGGGTGACTGCCTCTAACTCCCCAGCAGCGTTCTTCACGAACCTCCTTCCACAGAGGCTAATCTTGACACTGCTGGTACCAGTCATCAGGAAGTCCAATCATCTCCACATCCTTGTGTACCACTTCAGTCTATCTCTTCTCTAGCCTGTGCCACGCTCATTCAGCCCCATCTATCCAGAGAAACACAAGTTGGTTTGCTTTGCCGTGGCTGGGCATGCGGGCTACATGACCCAGCCAACGCAGCCTCGTTTTCCGGAGCTCCAATGATGGGACTGGCCAGATATTTCAAGCATCTGTGAGCTCCTCACACAATCCAGTCTAGTTAAACCCAGGATGTACCGTAGGCAGGCGAGCCTGAATGTTTCAAAATGGCACAGATGTTCCTGTAGAGAGTTTCACGTTTTGCAAGCATAGAGAAGGGAGGGCATAAGTGTGGCCAAGAAGACCTGGAGCTTTGTATGGAGCAACAGGCCAGGTAGCTTTCACACAGCGTTATGCAGCTGATAAAAAGATAATGCCGCCCAACTGATTCGGACTGAGACTTCGGCTGCCAAACCATTGGTGTATTGCTTAATAAAGATGGAAATTTCTCCACTCTCTCCAGAACTGGTGCTGTGTTTGTGTAGGGCTTATGATCAGGCCCCATCTCTAGCAGCATGCTCCATGTTCAGCAGTAGCATCTCCAACTCCTTCTCAGAGTGGGCAGCAGTCACCAAATCCGCATACATATGGTTGACCAATAAGAAGCCATCCCTTGACCACACCTTGGCATCGATCAGCCCCCCATTATATCCATACCAGATGGAAAACTTGTTCAACCATGTGATCAAAGAAGATGTTAACTTGTGTAGGGACAAAGATGAACAGAAAATGGCTCCAACACCCAGCTACACAACTTTACCCAGGCATGCCCACCATCATGAAGGTCCCCAATTATTGTTAGCATATGGTCTGGGACTCTGAAAGCATGAAGAACAACCCAGAGCCCTGGTATATTTATGGCATCATAGGCTTTGACCAGGTCAATAAAACAGAGATATAGGCCATGTTTAAATTATCTACACCTCAGCTGTAACATACGGAGAAAGAAAATTGCGTCTGTGCAGGACCACCCTAGTCGGAAACCACAATGGGGCTTTGCAAGCTTCTCCCCAGCATGACAAGGCGATGTTGAATCATTCTTGCCAGAACTTTTCTCGGCACACTGCGGGAGATGCCCCGGTACATGAATACTCACACTTAGACACTCGGATAATGACTGAGATACAGACAATATTAAGCAATACACAATAAATATCGCAATTCCTTATAGAGGAGTCACATGCTAAGTGGCTGATTACCGATCTATTACATAATTGCAATACCCCCCCACCTCTGATCACGAAACGTGATGGAGTTCAACAATGATGACGTCATCATGCACTATTTAAGACCGGAAGGAGGTGGCTTCACTATTCTGGCAAATCGCCCGAAGATGCTGGATGTAATTACCAGTGAAACGCTCTGAATGTTGTGGATTCACTCTTCAAACACACCGGTGGGCTGAAGAAGTAACTAATTTGCGTTTTGTTAACATGACACATGTTCTTAGTTTTTTCGGTAAAGTCACGTTGAAGAGAAACAACAAAATAACAAAATATATATAAAACAATAAAAAATTCTCACGACGTTTCGACCATAACTCAAACGGTCATCATCAGGTGTGTCGGTTTGCATAAATTGATTTCGAAAACGGCATATTTATTTATTTATATATATATAAAAAATAACGTTTGCGTCACGCGCAACGATTGGCAGTTTGCCCAGGACTAGTCCATCTATTTTTTGAAAAGAGGAGGGGGGAGACGAAATTTGTTTTTATGTATGCTGTCTGAAAGCCACTGTAAGCGTGAACAATCAATCAAGAACTGAAATGATTTATCAAATCTTTCCAATGATTGCTAAGATAGAATCCATCTTCTCGGTTGAAATTGTCTCTGTGCTTGTATATGTGGATAGCCTCATGAACGAATCTCTCATGGAAGCCAGATGGCTTACAAAGAACCTCCGTCTTGGAAAAGTCAATGGCATGTGAGCCTACTGAATTAGAACAATGATCTGCTACGGCCGAGGTGTTGGTCCTACCGTGTTTAAGGTCTGCTTTATGTTCACGAATGCGGTCCGAGATATGGCGTTTGGTTTCTCCAATGTAACTACTACCACAGAGGCAACTTAGTTTGTAGACACCAGGGTATTGTATGTCCGGAATCACATATTTTACAGACGGAACCAGATCACGGATTTTATGTAATGTGTTGAAACGGACCTGGATCTTGTGTTTATTCAAGATTTTGGAGATCTTTTTTGTGATCCCAGCAATGTAGGGTAAAGTGATGGTTTTGAAAGGCTCCTCAAGAGGGTTCTTCTTCATGGTTTGAGTGATAGCTTTGCGGATTGTATAGTCGGAGTAACCATTAGCCCTAAGAGCTTGGTGTACGTGCTTGAGTTCACTGCTTATGTGTTCCTGGTCGGATATGCATTGGGCTCTATGATACAGAGTCTTGATGAGAGAATTCTTCTGTGATGGATGGTGGTGGGAATCCGGTTTCAGATAAGCATCCGTATGGGTAGCTTTCCTGTAGACAGAGTGGCTCATTGAACCATCAGGTCTCTTTTTAATTAGGACATCCAAAAAAGGTATCTTGCCATCTATTTTGACTTCCATGGTAAATCTGATGGCTGGGTGTATGGAATTGATGTGGTCGAAGAATTGGTCTAGAGCAGGCCGGCCATGTGGCCAGATGACAAAAGTGTCATCCACGTACCTCTTCCATAAGGTTGGGCGCAGAGTGGCAGTCTGGATGGCGTCAGTCTCAAATTTCTCCATGAAAATGTTAGCTATAACTGGAGAAAGGGGGGAGCCCATTGGGGTGCCCTCAGTTTGTTTGTAGAAAGTTCCATTCCAAGTGAAGTATGTATTGGTTAAACAGTGTCTCACCAGGGGGGGTACCTCAGTGTTTAGTCCTTGATGAACCAAGTCTTCAATGATTGCAATGGTGTCAGGTACAGGAACCTTGGTGAATAAGGAAACTACATCAAAACTGACAAGCAGGTCGTCTGGGGACAGGGAAATACCCTTGATTGTTGATACCAGGTGAGTAGAATTTTGTACCGCAGAGGTGGTCTTTCCAGTGAAAGGACGCAGGATTTCAGACAAAAAACGAGCTAGTTTGTAGGTGGGGGAGCTGATAGTAGAGACTATGGGACGAAGA